ACATAACTAGATATAATGTTTTACAATATTTATGAAATGTAGATTGAATGTAGGTTTACTAGAGAAGCAACATACAGAAATATTATGTTAATTCATAATATATTAATAAATATTTTTGCATCAAAACAAAGCTATAATTTCTCTTTTAGATGCATGGAAGCAATCTTTCTGAGCTTTCCTTTTCGAAATATTGGATACTTTAAACATCTACAGGTGCTGATATTTACGAAACGAGACCAAATATAATTAATAAATCAAACGAACTTACCTAAAGTGAAGTTCTGTCCTAATTATATTGGGCCTCGTTGAAGTAAATAACTCCCGCCCAAATCCCAGACTCCCGCTAGGACATTTTGAAAAGTAGAAAAAAATGACATTCCCAGAGTATAAGGAACGATGAGGAACTTATATGTGATTCAAGGTTAAAATTGTTGCAATTGGCATAGGGATGGGGTATCTACAGGTATTATTTACGCCAACGAGGCCCAATATAATTAGGATAGAATTCTGTCTGGTTAAGTTAGCAAAGGGCAAGATTTTTTGTAATAGTATCCAGAGAAAAAAGAAGAACATAATTTTCATTTTAAAATAAAAATGCATTCATATGAGTTGGATGGAAGTGGCACTAATCATATTTGTAAAAGAAACTTCCACATTCTACAGTAATACTATTTACAAAATTCTGGATTTCTTCTGCCTCTGTTGTTGTTGAGTGGGACTTGCTAACGTTTCGCCAATCATCCTGTTGGCTTCTTCAGGGCATAAACAGTTTCAGTTAAGCTCTGAAGAAGCCAACAGGACGATTGGAGAAACGTTAGCAAATTCAACTCAACAACAATCGACGCAGGAGGAATACACAAGTTTTGTAAATAGCGGCACTAATCTTTTTAAGCAATTTAAATTATCGCTGCGATTTTTGAGATCCACTGTTCATAGGTTCATATCAGATTAGATTTCGGTTTCACCTGAAATAAACTTTAAAGGTGCTATAGGTGTCTGTAGAATATTGAACATTTTCTAAATGAATAAATAAAAAATGTCTTTAGTTATTATCGGTTGTAATCCTTCGTAACGATCGATAATGGCATTAGCGATGATTTTTGTGTTTACAGGTTTAATTTTGCACTTAACATTTGCTGGTAAGTTGAAAATTGTATGGTTTATTCTCATCAGGTTGTTTAAATTATAATATATATTAGCAATTTTTTTCTATAATGCCAATGGTATTTATGGCAATAAATTGTAGAACTAATCACCAGTACATCGAGTTACGTCTACTTAGATATCAGATATGAATTTTCATATGATTTGGTGCTCTGATGTCAGTTTGTACCTTAATTTAATTTTCCCATTTTTGCTTCTGTATAGGAAACAACAGATTTAAAATATATATATTGGGATCATAAATATATTGCAGGTAAATTTTGAAAATTAGGTTTTTACAGAAAAATTAACATTATTCGTAATTTCTGGTTTATTATAAATTGATTGTAAATGTTAGTAATTTGAAATATGCATGAGAGGGTACATTGGAATACAGGATCAAACAAAATATCTAAAATTAGATTTAAAATGAAAAACATATATTAACGATTAAAATTGATCCTAAAGATGGATCAAACAATTATTTTACTGGTGAATATAATTAATCGGGTGTCATAAATATGTGCTTGTACAATTTTTTTTATGTCCTTTTTGGATAATTTTACTGGGTTGTCAAATTAATATTAATTATTATATAGTAATATCTTGAAAACAAAGCGGAATTTGAAAATACCGCAAAATTAATTTCTATAGTAATTTTTTTTACAAAACTTCTGGATTCCTCCTGCGTCGGTTTTTGCTGAGTCGAACTTACTGACGTTTCGCCAATCATCCTGTTGGCTTCTTCAGAGCTTGACTGAAACTGGCTCGTATTTTACTCTGTACCTGCTTATATATTGAATTTAGTACGAAACTGTCAGTTTTCCCTTTAAGGGGTTTTAATAAGGAAGCTAGATATTTTGATAGAGAATATGTTGGAGAACCAATGGTGCTGACAATAGGTCGAAGGGGTAATCCTGATTTGTGAATCTTTGGGAGTCCGTAGATACGAGGAATTTTAGAGTCGTGAAGGTAACAGTCTTTTTCACGTAGTCTGATAGAGAAGAAGCCTTAATAACAGATTTAAGGTTGCGATCCATAGATGACGTACGATCTTTTTTAAGTTGACGATATGATCCGTCTGTAAGAATATCTTGAATCTTTTCCTGATATTCATTTGTGTCCATGACTACCGTAGCATTTCCTTTATCTGCATTTAGGATTACGATATCTGGATTGGATTTTAGAGATTTTAGGGCGATGCGTTCAGAGCCGTAAAATTATCTCAACCCGAGTCACTGAAAACAGAATTAAAACATCTTACCTCTGCTTTTCTCTAATAATTTCTCCATTGAAGACATTAAGCGTTCCATCAAAAAATACACTTCACCACAACCTTGCAATAGCAATGAGGCCGAAAGCAATCCTACACTTGCCACTGTGGTCCTTCCTTACATTCAAAACATCACTGACCACATATCAAAAGTTCTAAAGAAGTATAAAGTCCACTTGTCCAAAAATCTCTCACCATCTGCGGTCCGTGAAAGACAAAATTCTGTTTGAGACGCCAGAAGTTTACCGCATTCCATGCATATGCGGCGAAGAATACATTGGAGAGATCGGACGAAAAATATCAACTAGGCTCAAAGAACGCGAAAGAGCCTTACGACTAAGACAAATAAACTCATCAGCTGTTGCCGAACATACTCATGAAACCGAATTTTATTGGATAAAACTAAAATTCTTGCATGTAATCAGTTCTTCTACCAACAAAAAATCCGAGAGTCTATAGAAATCTATAAACAACCTAACAATCATAACCGCGACTCAGGTCTACCTGTCACCAATTTGGGAATCAGTCATCCGTCATTATGCCCCTCATTAGCGCACCCCTCAAACAATATATAAGCAGGTACAGAGTAAAATACGGCCAGTTTCAGTCAAGGTCTGAAGAAGCCAACAGGATGATTGGCGAAACGTCAGCATTTTCGACTCAGCAAAAATCGACGCAGGAGGAATCCAGAAGTTTTGTAAAAAGTATTACAGTAGCCTGTGAAAGTTTCTTCGAAAAATTTCTAAAGTAATTTTTCGGCAACTTAATCGAGTTGCCTTTCATTCATAGAAATGAAAATGCACGCTATTTAAGACAACCTGCATAAATAAATGTATATAATGTTCACGTATTAAGTTTTTAATTAATAATAATGCGGCTTAAACAACTTTTAGATCCGCTCATGCGATACATTTACGACCCAGTGGACTGTAAAAAATTCTATGAAATTAGTGAAATGATTCGATCCTTTCAATGTCCATCGGGGATGTTGTTTAGTCGCGTAGAAGAAAAGTGCACTTGGTTATCTGAAACGGGATGCACAAATGACATTCAGAAAGCTAAATATTTTGATGGAAACAATAATGGAAACGGAAATAATAATGGGAACAATAACAATAACGGCAATGGGAATAATAATGGAAACAATAACAACAACGGAAACAATAACACCAATGGTAATAATAACAACAACGGAAACGGCAACAATAATGGCGAAAACAATAATAACGGCAATAATAACAATAACGGAAATGGAAAAAACAATGGCAACGGTAACAACAACGGCAACGGCGAAAATAATGGTAATAATGGAAATAATACAAGCAGCGGTAACAAACAATTTTGAATCATAAGTACCAATGCTAAATAATATGCAATCATAATAAATAATAATAGATTTAAAATATGGGGACAACATTGCTTCAAAATATTTTGGTGCGTTGTGTATTGATTTAATATCTGCATAAACTGTAAATACCTGTCCATAAAAATGCATTTGTTCAATAATATTGTATTTTGAGTTGTTTCTGTTCTTCATTTTTTTTTTTGCACCTTGCACCTAGTTTTAAATAATCGATATTAAGTATGCTGAATGCAGTCAGCATTGCAGTTAGAAATGTGGATTATAATGGATCAAAACTAAATCACTGATATATTTTGCTGGTAGTTTGTAGTAGAATTTTCGTTGGAAAATTTTATCCGTACTAACTCGGAAATTTGTCATGTTACAACAGTCTTTAAGAGCTTGAATAGTGAAATATGAACAAAGGAAAAAGACAAATGTATTTTTTGTATGTATTATTTGTTTGTTTTAATTTGTTTTGTTATTTTATATATTAATATTATATTAATACTAATCAAATTTTATAAAAATAATTTTCTATTATTTTTTTTATGTATTAAAAAATTGTCACATTTAAACTGGTTAATAAATATAATAAATAATAAATTAAATGGAAGTTGTTTTTTTTTGCTGTAATGATATTTGGTAGCGGCCGTTAGATTAATGCGGAACCAACATAAAAACCAAAATAGTTATTTTTTTATTGTTTTACCTCTTGCTTGAGTATTTGTAAGCACGAAACTGTAAGTCATTTAAATATCACCGCACAATATCACTTTAAATTTATTGTGTTAGTTTAGTTGGCTAGAAATCCGGTAAAGATTTGCTGCGATCATCTCTTTATCGCACTAGCTGAAGGCAGGGATTAAGGAAGTTGAAGGGATGGATGGATGTTCGACACTTTTAAAAAATGTCTTAATAGCATATTATGCAACCAGTTTGGCAAACGTATTGCATACTATACTACACATACTTTTTCTAGTACTGTAAGTTTTTGGGTACATTTTTTCAAAACAACACGAAAGAACCGTGCGGCATAATCTCCGAAAACATAAGCTTGCTCCCAAACCCGCGCGGTAATACCCCGGAAATGTCCGAAGTGGTTCGGATCCGTGGGAAAAGAAAATCACGTGGTAAAGTGACGCTTCTCGCATGCTAGATGGGTGCATAATTAGGTATTTTGCAGAAGGGAGTAGAAAAATAACTTTAACTGTATTTTGTACTAAAAATAAATAACATATATAACAAAAATATTCTGGTCACTTTATTTGTAAAACTCTTTGATTTTTAATTAATAGTCGGATAATTTACCGAGCTATCTACGGCTGCCAGTAGCATGGGTACAAATTCCACGGCCAGTAAGCCCATGGCCAGTATGGTATACAATTTCCGTTATTTCCTCCGTTTGGTGGTGGAGCAGCTGTTAAAAAAAATAGGTATTAATTTTGAAAAGAAAATGGAACATGGAAATGTTCCTAAGTCTAGCTACATTTGGACGGCGAATCCGCGGCGAAAAAAAAGTACAAATTATTATTTGTAGGCAGATTTGCCGTCCGTGTTCAACAGGTCTAACAAATTTTCAAATTCGTACCTGTTGTCGTTGTCGTTGTTGTGGAAGTGGTCGTTGGAGCTGGCGTTGTTGTAGTTGTTGTCGTGGTTGGAGCAGGCGTCGTAGTTGTAGTTGTTGTTGGAGCCGCAGTTGTCGACAACGTTGTTGGTGCAGCGGTTGTGGTTGTAGTAGTTGGACTAGGAGATGGTGCTTCACTCGAAGTTGTATCTATTATGATAATATTAAGGTGCTATCCTGATAGCTCGCCAACTAATAGACATCTAGGGGGTGGCCATTAGAAACAAAACGCAACATGTTTCGTTGTTAGAGTGCTTAATTTTCATTTTTTGATATCTTTGTGAAAATGATTTTCTAAATATTTATTCTAATTCATAAAGTTTGTGTTATTTAAGGGTGGGGAGATTAATGATTACAGGTTGCAAACTTGCACAATAAAGAAATTAAACTGAAAATGCAATGCCTTCCTTTCAGATATATTGATTAATTGAATTGGAAAAATTATTTACCATCTTGTCCGTTATTGTTGTTGTTTCCGTTGTTATTGTTGTTACCATTGTTATTATTGTTTCCATTATTGTTGTTGTTGCCGTTGTTATTGTTGTTGCCGTTGTTATTGTTGTTGCCGTTATTATTACCGTTGCCGTTATTGTTACCATTTCCATTGTTGTTGCCGTTTCCATTATTATTACCATTTCCATTATTGTTTCCATTGCCATTGTTATTTTCGTTTCCGTTATTATTCTCGTTGCCATTGTTATTTTCATTTCCGTTATTATTTTCGTTGCCATTGTTATTGTTATTTCCATTATTGTTTTCATTGCCGTTGTTATTTTCGTTTCCGTTGTTGTTTTCGTTACCGTTATTATTTTCATTTCCATTATTATTTTCGTTTCCGTTATTATTGTTGTTGCCGTTGTTATTGTTATTTCCATTATTGTTATTATTGCCGTTATTATTGCCGTTTCCATTATTGTTGCCATTTCCATTATTATTACCATTGCCGTTGTTGTTTCCGTTTCCATTATTATTGCCATTGCCATTGTTATTTTCGTTTCCGTTGTTATTTTCGTTGCCATTGTTATTTTCGTTACCGTTGTTATTTTCATTTCCGTTGTTATTCTCATTACCATTGTTATTTTCGTTACCGTTGTTATTTTCGTTTCCGTTGTTATTTTCGTTACCATTGTTATTTTCGTTACCGTTGTTATTTTCGTTTCCGTTGTTATTTTCGTTACCATTGTTATTCTCGTTACCATTGTTATTTTCATTACCGTTGTTATTTTCATTTCCGTTGTTATTTTCATTACCGTTATTATTATTGTTGCCATTGTTGTTTTCGTTTCCATTGTTGTTATTATTTCCGTTATTATTATTGTTGCCATTGCCGTTGTTATTGCCGCTACCATTTGAGTTGTTGCCAGTGCTGTTTCCGTTGTTGTTATTTATCGCAATGCATCCCGATTGGTCTGGCCAAACGCAAACATCAAGACTTGCACTAAAGAATAAACCACCAGAACAGCTGAATTGTGTTAGTTCACCGTCAGAGCATTGGTAATATTTTGTGCAGTCCGTCGGGTGAGGTATGAACTCGGCTGCACATGCTTCTGAAAGGAATAATCGGATTGGTTTCAAAATCCATTATCATCCTAAAATTTTAATTTGGTATTAGGGGGAGAAAACAAATTTAACATTATTATTCGTAAAATAGATTTGCATAAGCATAATTTTGGGGTGCATTCCAAAAGGAAAGAGAAGGTTCGTAACGCACCGAATAGTTACAGTGATTTCGAAAAATGTTTTGATCTTATTTTTTAAATCAGTCCATCGAGGATTTTTTTAATCAATTACTATGCACTATACCCAAATTGTTTGATTTACTATTTACTATATAGCAAGTTAAACGTCAAGCAAAAGTTTAAATAGTATTTTTATTACCGTTATTGTTATTATTTGTGGAAACACACCCTGATTGCGCTGGCCAAACGCAAACGTCAAGGGTCGGACTGAAGTATAGTCCTTCTGGACAGTCAATGGCCTTAGAAATTCCATTGGAGCATTCAAGGAATTTAGCGCAATCGGTAGGATGGGGACTATACTGTGATAGGCATGGCCCTAAATTGGAAACACGAAGTATGTATAAGCATTTTCTAGACTTACTTTTCGAGTCGTACTTAAAAATATTATTTATTATTTCACCCGGTAACTCATATGAAATACTGCTAAAAGTGAATATTGAGATCTGATCAGAATTTCGCAGTGCGTTTCAATTTTGGATGTTTTTAATAACAAAATATTAAACTTGTTAAAGAAGACATCAAAATTAAATTTGGTGTTCTGTAACTGAGACGCAGCTAAACGGTCAAGAGAAATTCCTGCACGGGTAGATCACAAACTTAAGGAAAGGGTAGTGAAAATGTCATTGTTTTCAAATTCATTTAAATCAGCACACTTAACAAAATTCTTCTTGTGCTTTTTTACATTTTCAACTGACTGGGTATATGCCGTTGCAATTCGTACATATATTGGTTGATTGATTATTAATGATACTAGCGGTTAGTAACTTTTTACTTTTCCAGTTGCCTAGCATTTTCAGGTTTTGCGGATAGTCGTTTAACAATTATATTGTTAACTTTCCCAAATCCAATTTACTAAATGTTGGAACTGATTCTGAATCATGCAAAGAATATATATTTATATTTCTCAACCACACATATTTGTTTAAGAATTTATGGTTACAGTAAGAAAATGCATCTTCTTTTCTCCCTTAATCTTTGTTATGCATATTTCATATTTCCGAGAATAAAATTTTTAGCAAATCAAGTAGATAAATTCAAATAAATATCGAAATTGATTACTATTCCAACTATTAATTGTAAGATTAATTGCGAATTGCTTAATATCAAATACCTATTTTCTATTTATAAAATTTAAATTAAATATTCACCATTATTGTTGTTGGTGTTGGCTCCATTGTTATTGTTGTTGTTGTTGCTGGGATCCGGCTCGGTGCCTCCATTATTGTTACCAGCAACGCATCCCGACTGCTGCGGCCACACGCATGTATCAAGTGTTGTACTGAAGTATAGTCCAGATGAACAATTAAATTGCGACCATATTCCGTTCGAGCATTCGTAGAATTTAGTACAGTCCGTAGCGTCAGCTCTGTATTGGGAGGTGCATTGGGCTGAGAAACAAGCAAATGAATTGCAAGTAACTGTTATCCAATATTATCGTTTAAACGATACTATTTATTAATAAACCAAAAATTCAGAAACTGAAAATTTCCTCCACCACGTTATTAACAATTACCGGCGCTGCACATGTTTCAGTTGAGGTTAGTTTTTTAAAATGAATATCTACATAGTGGTCGTAATTGAATGATGTTTTAATACGAGAATCCTATGTGCAGTGACGACGGTGCCCTTATCGGTGCCTTTATCCGAATCAGAAACTTACATAAATGAAAAAGTTATCGAAATTTTTCTAAATAATCGAAAATTGAAAAACGCCCTATATCTCAGTCAGTACTAAAGATATCGCCATGCCATTTTTACTATCAAATACTTCTCAAAAATCTAGTTTTTTTCTGCTAGAACAGTTCAATAACACCAACCTATATAGCTCTGTTTGCTAATTTTTAATATATTTGTGGCGGAAGACTACGGGCTTTTTATTCTGGATTTTTAACAACTGTCATGTGCTTCAAGATATGGGTCATCAAAACTAACGCGAAGTAGTCTGTCCACACGCTTACCAGCTAATCCAGATTGAAAAACTGCACCCAAAAGTAAAAATATCGTTAGCATTGACATCGAACCTTTCATGTTCGATCTTCAATTATTCTTAATTATAACTGGCATGCAAACGATTGAGTTTATGTCTTTTATAGTAATGTTCATACACATTTATTCTACGAAAAATTTGAGTGCTATTGAAAATATTATCAACGATAAAGTCCTGACAACGAGAAAATGACCTTTAGATGGCAATTATTGTGAATTTTGACAACATCAAGCGGGTCTAAACAATTTTTTAGACCACTTCAATCGGATTATAATGAAAATGATATAGTACCAGGCTACTGGAACATTTATTCCTTTTTATTTGTGTAAATTTCGCAAAATTTTTAGGATATATAATGACAATGTTTTTTTTTGTTAAATTATTGACTCTAAAGAAAATGTCAAACAAATATTCTCTCTGTTATAACCAGTTATACTTTAACTCTTCGTAAATTTCTAAAAGTGCTATTTAAGTTTAAGTTAATAAAGGTTGAAAACAAGTCTCATTAACACCATTAAAATGTTTTATTTGTACTTTAAGTAAATTGGGCGGCGAAGGAAACATTCAACTTTTTCTGATTAAAGTATCCTTTGGTTTTCCTTGATTGGACCGAATTTTCAAAACTAGATCTCATTAAAGAAAAACAGGTGTTTGATTTATAGAAAGAAAAGGACACTATTGACCCTTTTTTGTTAGTTTACAGTAATATATTAAATGGAATTATATAATTATTTCTATTCAAGTCACTTGTTTAAATGCTCTCTTGAATTGTTAGTAGTGCTGGCACATCTTCTCAACAAGGGTGCGAACACTCAAGGCTTACCAGTAAAAGTGGGCAAACCAGTGTAAAGTCTTCTGATCGGACAAGAACCTACCTTAAAAATTAAAGTATTATTTCGTGTGAAAAGATCGACTAAAACAACAGGACATTTAGCAATTTATTTATTAGATATTTAAAGTTGCTGGATTTCAAGTATTAGCAGTTATTGGTTCTGAGTCTTCGCCTGGATACAATTTCTGATGTGGGGCAAAGTTTTCTGCTGACTTCCGTTCTTTAGTAGTTTTGGTTAGTTTAGAGTTAGAGTTGGCTTGTATTTGGAGTCCCTTGATAGTTGGCCGCCTCTAGTAGCTTCGCCCCTTGGCTTCAGCACTGAAGAATAGGCAAGTGTTAATCCAGAACCATTATCTGAAAGGACCGCTTTATAGGCAAATCGATCATAATAATATGGTTGCTTAGGGTCTCGTGGGTAGATTTTAATTTTTTTGAAAAGAAAAATATTTGTTAATATTGTAAAACGTTTAAAATTAGGTGCGTGTACATGCAATTTGCAGTAAGGTGATCTCAATGATATTTATATTCTCTTTCTTGCAAAGAAAAGTTTTATTGCACCTAGTTGCCTCTGATATTTAAAAATGTCAGATAATTTATTAAAGCTGGAAATTTGGTATAGTTTGGCCGTAAAATCTTACTCCCATACTTTATGTCTTTATTATTTTACATTGGTTTACATTCTATTATTAAGCTTTAAGTGGTAGGATGTTTAAAAATCTATGAACAGCAACAACTAGACAGTTTAAAGAATAACACGAATAATAACAATAATAATAAATACATTTTTTACAAAATTATACTCTACGAATGTTCGAATATACAGAGAGTTCCATTATTTTGATGCTGTTTGACTACTTTTGGGATGATATAAAAATTGAATAATTTTGAAAACCTTGTATTTTGCCCACAATATTTTAGATAGTCCAAAATTTTCAAGGGAAAAGAAGCGAGATGGAACATATTATCGTTTTGCCAGAGATGGATGGATGGATGGATATTATGGCTCATGTCTCTGTATTGGACTTATCTTAACGCTCCTCCTGCTATTTTTAATGTCGCTTGGATGCTAGCATTAGGCGACGCTACGCGGAAATTTTGCACAGTATTCATTTCTTGTTTCTTCACTTGGTTTCAAGAATCTCGACATTCCTTTGTTACACTCGAGAGTTGCCCCATTTACAGATAATATATATTTTCTTTTAGGTATACAGCAATTGCGCAAGAATAATAGCGTTTATCTTATTGTAAAATTTTCTTTGGAAAAGTAATAAATTTATTAAAATGTGTTTTCATAGTAGTTCGTAGCTAGCAGAACCTGAAAACAGTAATTAAAAATGGAAACGCATTACCAAAAAGTTCCGGGAACGCGGACGTACCGCAAATATTCGAGCCAAGACTTAAGAAAAGCACTTGATGCGACAAAGGGCGGCATTAGTTTATAAAATTCTATTCCTATACACAACCGGTCAGTAGGTCATCTAAGTGTCCTTAGCAGCGGTGAAGAGGAAGTGATTCGTAACACTTTATTACAAGTGATAAAGGGACTACTAACCAAAACTTTATCAAGAAACAAAGTCTTTTCACATGAATCGCCGCAAAATATTTAAAAATCGCAATCGTCCGTAGATAGGATTGATATTATTCAGTTTTTTGAGAACATACAGGAAGCATTAGGTGATGTTCATTATAAAATCTTATACAATTATACAGAAACTTTCGCACATTGCGAAGAGCACTTATCACTTCTGTGGAACAAAGTTTCAGAGACTGCAGAGAAAAATTTAAAATCGGGATTTAAAGCCACGGGACTGAACCCAATGAATGTTGATGAAGCCTTAAGGAAGATTCATGGAGGATTGCCTGAAACTGAACGCGTTCTTGATCCATAATTGGACGAGTTTTTTAAAGAAAAGAGGGGAACAAGCGAAGACCAAAAAAAAAAGAAAGAAAAAGGGAGCAAATCTAAAACGAAGTAGAATCTCAACCCCAGTCAATCCCAGACAACAGCGACGAAGAATTGCCTTGTTTCTCTAACAGCCAGCAACAGCCATCAAAAATACCATCAAAAAGGGTCACAGGCAAAACCAAGAAAACTGAGGTGCGTCCTCCTATTAGTATACCTAACAAAAGCAAGTTTTCGAAGTAAGAGCGATTTAAATTCAAAATGTGTCATATGCCACCTGCTTCTTAAAAACTACACAGGGAGGGGCCGACTGAATGTGTTCGTTGCAAGAAGTGTGTTTGCAGACTTTGTAATTCAGAAAGCAATGATCCATTTTATGAGTGCGATGTGGAGTCGGAGAAACCATCCACCGAAAAGAGCGATGAGGATAGAACCCAAAACTCTGAAACTGAGATCGAAAAGGAAAAGTTTAAATTTAAGTTTAATTTGTTTTTTGCTAATGTCAAAAGGTTATTTTTATGTTTAACCTTTACTTCCTATATATACCAAGGAATTTTTCTATTACTGTTTTTGACGTATAAAAATATCGTTGTTTTGTTTTTATAAGTATGTAAAACATAGGTTAGAATATTTTCTTGTTTAATTGTAAAACTGTTTTATTTATGACCAATATAAACTAAAAGTTTTTCAGCACAAAAACCTATGTTTCTTGACCAAAAAATTCTGCGTCTATTTCCGAGGTTTCATGGATGCTGCGACGCTTCAAAATGCGTTTTATGTATATCGAAATTAACATTTGTATCAAAGTCCGAAGTCCCCAAACACCCGAAAACTTTGACGTACCCATTTTTAGATTTTTTGAGCAATTTGTTAAAATCTCATTTATTTCACAGCGTTAGGTCAAAAAACTAACCAAAAATTAATGGTCGTAAACTAATAGTAGTAATTTAAATTTTTAAAGAACAAGCCAACTAAGAGTTACTAAATATAGAAACTCTTGTTTTGGCGTTTTCTTTACATCTGCCTCTTGGTATAACCTTTTTTTTGCTACTTTGAGATATTTCTACTACAATTTTTTTGAACTTTTTTCACTAGTATGCACCTGTATACCAAACAGTTTTGGATGTTTTCAGTCAACATATTGACAAACCTAACCTTTGTGGGAAGAAAATCACTAAAAAATAACAAGCTTCGTTTTCGTCATTATTAAAAGTCTATTTGGTCAAGATTATAGTGATAAATGCTAAAAATGGTAAAAAAAATCCATATTATTGGATAGCATGTTCGCTGTAGCATAATAACGTGATTATCGGTAATATATATCATTCGCCTTTTATGGACAGATATTTTGCCACTTAATTACAAATTACTGTTGATTAAATCGGCTGCTAAAATGAAATATATATCTAAAAACACTTACGTGTGGTAAGTTCGGCGAAAAGATAATGATATCTAAGCATTGTTATTTTCCACGATATATCAAAAACCCGCTAATAAAGCGATAATATCTAAATCGTTGTTTGCAGTTTATTCGGAAAAGATGAAATATTCATAAATTACAACGTGAAAACGGAAAATAGCTAAAAAAATATTATTTAAATGCTCAAGAACATTGTAAACGTCCATTTCATAAAAAATCCCACTATAGCTGCAGTGTGTAACATCCTGTAAAAATGAAAAAAAAAACATTATAGAAATTTTTAAAACGCTAACCAAAATACACCCATAATTTGTATAAATGTGCTCAAGTTCCATTTTTCAAAGGAGTTTGATCAGTTAGATCATGTTAAATGGTAAACAGAAAATTTTATGAATCGCTTATCATTTACTTTTTTTATAGCCATATACCTCCGATAAGTCTGCTGCTGCTTCCAGCGTCCGGCAATATGTGCGATTATTATTTAATATTTTTATTAATGAGAGATTAGAGATTTTGATATCCGTTTACGATATATTTGTCGGCATGAAAATAAAAAATACGGTCTTTAGAAGATTATGTCATTCTTCCGCTTAATTTGACGCAAATCGCCAGCCAATATTGGAATAATAACTTGCATCTTAGTAGGTACTGTTCAGGAGGAGAAGATAGGTAACAGCGCAATCATGTTTTTAAAAAACAACGGGCGTATCTAAGTAAAAATAGTTATTCTACGCATTCTAAGTAAAAATACTTAAAATATTCCGTTTTCATGCAGCGTGTTTAAAATACGAAAGTTGTCCGCAAGGGCTTAATTTTATAGTTCATCATGCATCAAAAGAAAGTCAACTAGGATTTTTTTGAAAACGGCATATTTTGTTTCACGAAAATCGAGCATAGTATTGCGGAAACTGTATTGGTCTATCTCTAATAATAACAGAGATATCCCACAGTAACAAGCGTAAATGAGTACACTGTACATTTATCCAATTTTTTTTTGTCGAAAAAGAGAAAGGTGTTAAATTTTTGTGTCATCTGACTTCAATTAGTAAAGAATAAAAAAAATACGAATTATTTTTTATTTCTAATACGTCGAAATATACATTATCATATACACAATTAAATCAACCTAACTATTTTACTTATCATATCATATATTTTATTTATATAATAGCTCGGTGAGTTAAATCATGTAATATGTAAAAAGTATAAATGTTTTACTTACCCCAAAAAAGATACTCTGTTTTGCTGGTTGCATATACAACATACGATTTTACCATTTAAAATAATAGTTATTAATACACACAAGTATGAAATTATTAGTTGCTATTCTACATACACAATATTGTCACTGTCCAAAATATTAAAAATAAGGATAAACGATTGAAATCACTTCATAAAGTACCCCTAAATAAATGATTTCTCAAAAAAAAATCCAAATACGTAGAAAAATTAATAATAAATATAAGCAATAAGCAGTTATTTGTCATTATTCATATTGTCTGCATTACCGGAGCTATGTCAGTGCTTTTGCAAATAAAGGAAGACTGGAAATTACTTTTTCCGAAGGGAAAATGATTATGAAAATGAGGTAAGATCTTGACAAAATCTTTAAATTGATTTCACTTTTCACCTTTCGCATGGCAACTTTGTTGCTATACTTATTTCGTACTAAAAACAATGTGGTAGAATTACGCATAATAAGAATAATAAAATGTAATCTCGCATACCCACTAAATACTGCAATTTAATTGTAATATTTACAACTGAACAAAATTTTATACCAGATTGTTCGTTGAGTCGGCTTTTCGAAAATGTACAGGCAGGTTTTGAAACTTATCCCTGAGATTGTTTATATACAGACAATAATCCGATGTAACAGAAACTTATATATTGAAGTAGATGGATGATATACAAAAAGTGATCATATATGGATATCGTAGTTTAATTTTTTTATAAAATCTTTGCGTAGTATAGATGCAGTTCGTTTCCGTTTCAAAATAAATCATCTCAGGAATCTGATCCCAACTTTCAACAATTAAAGACTACTTTTTTATGTACTGAGTGCCGACACTACAAAACATAATTGTCCTAAAGATTATTTGAGAATAATTTAATAACAAAACAATCGAAAAAATTGATGATAATTTCAAACAAGAAAAGTGACTCTTTGTTAATTATAGATTTTATGAACTGGAAGGATATTTTGTCACTTAGCTTTAAGGCACTTGGCATTTACGGAAAACAAAATCTTGCGGCGACGGAACAGCAAATAAATCTGTTTTAATATAATAATAATTAATATAATAATTCTAATTTATTTAGCTAAGCGTTTAAGAAAAAGTGTTATAATTTTTCGAATAAATAAAAAGCCTAGATTATGGGGGGGGTTAGTATTACTCACTGGGGTTTTACAGAAATTAACGTTAGGTATTTGTTACTCATCAAATGAAATTGTAATTAGACCAAAAACAAATATGCGTCACAGTTTAATATCCTAATAATATTTCATACGTATGTTATGATGATAGTGTAGCTCAGGGTTCTGGAAATAAAAGTGTACAATTAAAATATTTATTTAGCTAATATTTGCCCATATTTAAGCGACTTAAGTTTTGTATAGGCATGCGATAATGTGGGGCTGTATATAAATAAAAAAATTATCGCGTCTTGATCAGTATCACGGTAGAGTCAAACTAAGTGTTTTTGAGCTACTGATCAAAAGTGAAAATTATTCCGGAATTACAATGGAGATTGCGTACGTTTTGTTTGGCTTACTCACCATTGGTGTTGCCGCAGCTAACCGTAAGTGAAAAACTAAATTAAATATGGGAAATAATAAGTTTAGTATAAAAATTAGACTTTAGAAATTATAGCTCTAATTTTCTTCCCTGCTTTCATTTTTGGAGAAATTTTAGCTTCTATTTGAATTATATTGTAGCTCCCTTCGAGGCTAGAGAAAAACTTATCGCCATCGAGGAAGCCAGAGCACGGGAGGCGCTGGAGCAAATTCGTCAAGAAAAACTTCAAGCCATTAGAAATGTTTTGGAACAGATCAAAGAAAATGCCAGAGAAAAATTGAAACAATCACAAAACAGTAATGAAGACTCCGATGACGACGACGAACAACCAGCACCGCCTCCAAGACCGGTTAGCGGAGAAAGTGAAGGTTCGGGAGAAGACGACAATTCGGAACCGGAATCAACTGACGAGCCTGAACAACCGGAGCAACCACCAAAACCGTCTCCATCTGACTCAGAGAAATCGAATGAAAGCGATGATGACAAAGACGAAAATGATAGCAATGTTGAAAATGATTCCAACAGTGCTGACAGTAACGACGAGAACAATAGCAAAGATGACGACAACTCTGATGATGAAGATGACGATAGGAATTCTAGGAGAGAGGAGAGATTGCCTCGCGCTGGTTCTAACGATCGCGGCAGCTGGTGGGGATCGCTATGGGGTTGATTGAAGTAAAGCTGCATTTAATTTATATTTCATACCCCGTAAATGGCTTAATGTATAATGCAAATACGCCTGTGGCTAATAATAAAATCTAGACATATGAATAAAAAAAACGAGTTTACTTTGCATTAGGTTTTTCCAGCTTAAAGATTTTACTTTTTGGGGACGCCTAAAAATTACAGCTGTCCAATTCAATAATTAATTTAAACTAAATTAAGATATTTGTTCATAGCCGCACTTAAATGTATGTTTATGGTGATAAGTGCATTAATTAAAAAAATGCTTATCTAGTCGACTTGAAGGTAAAGAATTGTTTTGCTTAAATTATCGTTTTGGTATATCGAAATCAATCTGACGGTAAATCTGCTGCTCTTCGGCGGCTATCCTTTTGTCTAGCTGCCTCAAATGCTGTTAATTGTGCATCTGTGGTATTGAATTCACTAATCAATGTATTGGAACATTTTATTTTATTGCTTTTCGTTAAAGATTTATTTCTCTTAAAAAATATAAGGGAATTGTTATTCGTATTAATGGGTCACTATAAAATAAATGTAAGAAAACGCAATATCTGTTCATATCGTTTTGGTATATGTATGCAAAAAGATTAGTTTCCCTAATAAAAACTATTGCGCCGCATTTTCGGTACTAGAATTCCAAGTAAATTACCGTGATTAAGTTGAAAAATTGGAATCTGTTTTGGAAAATTGATGAAATATGCGTTTCTAGCCACAATTAATATTATTTATTATCAGTTGTGGAAAGGTTGTGTTGAAGTTGTGGCTTTAATAATAGTTGTTGTGGTTGCAAATATGTTCCCATAAGTGATATGTTTCAATTCCTTATTAATCTACCATTAATTTACCAACCAAAGCTAATATTAGTTGCGTTATAGCTGCACTAATCTACTTTCATTTATTTATAATAAAATTACCTAAATAACGAAGTGACATAATAGAAATAAAAAAGTATCCTTTATATTTTATTTAATAAGCTTTTGCTTAAATTTCATTGAAGCCAAAAAAGGCAAAGAATTGCCCAGTTAAAAGGATAATTAAAAGCAGTTGACTGATTATAGTTAAAAATATTATTAATTGGCTATTTTGCAACAAGCCTGATAAAAACAGGAGTTTGATTGGAATTACTATCAACTTGATAATCGTACTATACTTTTTCTACGAACATTGTGTGACGTGTCTGCCGGAAATGACAAATAGTAAAATTACCGAAAAAGCGAGCGTCTTAGAATAACACATTTTATCAGTTGCCATTCCATATTGTAGAGTAGGGAGTAGAAAACCAATATTGTCACAGCTTACTGGCCATGGCCGAGTGCGTAGTTTCCGGAGGTACAGTTCTCAAAAAATTCTTGCTTTAAAAACAAACACTAACTTTATTTGCATTTTACATGGTAAAACAGGGGGAGCCGGGAGTCCACGGGACAAGCGGGCTGTATAAGGAAGATCCGGGTGTCACCTAGCCAATGACCAGTGACATGCAGCGGGGGTCCAAGGGAGAGCAAGCGTAGAGAGACGGGAGTCCTAGAACAAGCTACCGGCGGACGAATCAGAGGGTGCCTGCCTTCCGATGTTTGAATCACCAAATTTTTAAATAACCTAATTTCTGCTAACTCAGCGCTTGTTCCGTAACCCATAGGGATTATATCTACTAAGGAGTTGGCAATATTTTCATATTATTTTAATAATTTTTATGACACTGTAAGTGTTTTTTACAGATCCCAAACGTCAATCAATCTCGATGGGTAATTTCCTTTTCCTACTCCCGTCTGTAAAATATCTAATTACACACTTATCTAGCGTGCGGGAAGCGTCACTTTACCACGCCAGTTTCGTTTCCCACGGATCCGAGACACTTCATTTCTGATTGCCCTGATATTACCGCACGATTTTGGGAGCAATCGGATGTTTTCGGAGATATTTCCTATGCTTTGAATTTTGACGTTTGTCAATTCTGGCGGTCATGTCAGTGAATATATTCGTGTTGTTTTGCGATAAGTCACTTGTTTATTAAGCACTCGTTCCGCTCGTGTCAAACAAACTTGTCAGTCAAATGCCGTTTACCGCACTTGTTGCATAATATACTATTTTACTTCTACAGCACCTACACATACTATTTACAACCTGCTGGTTTCTTCAGAACTTAACTGAAACTAGTTAAGTTAAGAAACCAGTTAAGTTCAATTGAGCTCTGTAGAAGAAAAAATGATGATTGGCTAAATGTCAGCAAGTTCGACCCTGGAGGAATACAGGAGATATGTAAACAGTAATCTCGATGGGTTGATAGGAAGTGCGATCCTGGAGCGAATAGATCTAGACTGACAAAATAAGAAATAATAATATCGTAATAGTTTGAATTCTAATACTTTCGAACTTTTTTGTCAAAAAACGACATGACAACATAGTGAAACATTTTCTCTAACCTACGTACCTAGTCATTAAAAATGTGTTATAGGCTATCTTAATTTAGAAAGTATAGGACCAACTAGCAAAATGATGCATGGAAATTTAGAATCCAGCTTTGTGAAACAGTCACCGAGTTACCAACATATTTGCCATGTCCAATCATTAGCACATGCCAACAAAAATATCAATACTTCATTTGACTTATTATTTGCTTAGATTTTGCACAGAGATTTTTGTACTCAACTTCGGGATCCTTGAACTTGAGCCACGAATTGGTTTTGCCTATCTGAAAGCGTCGTACTGAGAGCACCATTGCCCACATGGATGTTAACATAAGTCGTGACAGCTTAATAATTGTTATTGTTGTTCAATTGTTTTCCTAGGTGATTATCATACTAAAAATAGTATATTATATCGAGAGGAACTTCTAACATCCTTTTCATATAGGATGTGTTTATAGATAGTGAATTTTGTATAGGATTTTTTGCTAAAGTCTATACTTAGCGCTTTGGATCACTCTTTAAACCCATATACACCCAGAATCTCGAAATATTTGCAGATAATAATCTTTTTCTACTCCCTTGCGTAAGATACCTAGATATACACCGATTTAGCGTGTGGAAAGTGTCATTTTAATACGCCAGTTTCGTTTCCTACGGATCCGAACCACTTCATACATTTCCGGGATATTAGCGCACGAATTTGGCAGCGACCGCATGTTTTCGGAGATTTTACCGCGAGGCTTGAATTTTGCCGTTTGTCAATTATGACGGTCATGTCAGTGAATGTATTCGTGTTGTTTTCCAAAAATGTACCCAAAAACTAACGGTCGTAGAAAACACATACTTATGCAACACGTTTGGTAAACCTGTTTATTAATCAATCGCTCCGCTCGTGAAAAATAAACTCTTGACTCATATGCTGTTTACCACACTTGTTGCATAATATACTATTTCTGCAACATAAAATTCAATTATTTTTGCGCTATTGAAAGAAAATTTTTTATAAACAACGTTTTATTTTATTTTAGCCTATGTCCATAGAAATCCCTTGAAAATATTTTTTCGCAACTATGTAATATTTTAAACAATTATTCAACAAAATACTACCAATATATAAATATAAGTAAAATAGTGTATAATATATAAGCAATTTGAGGTCCACTACTTCTCGAAGGAAGAGAATTGTTGACATTTTTTAATAAAGGAGAGCATAGAATTGTTTTGCATTTTTGTCTTCTCTTCGTAATTTTAAAACGTTAAGAGATTTTATTTATTTGGTACAGCCTTTAATATTCGTCATGTGACTGATGTACGTATCCATTCTTTATTCGTAAATCATCTTCCCATATGTAGCGAATATTAACATATTGAGTGTCCTATAAAAGGATTTGGGGAACCAACAAAGAAACACCTTTTGGCAAATGCCGTGTTTCCAAATCTACCAGTAACAACAGCAACTTTTTAATTACAAATGGAAAAAAAGCTCAGTAGTTTTATCTATCTATCCTTTATACCTTAAAAAATATATTATTTTTTTATCATTACGTAAATAAAATCTAATATCTACTTCCACGACTTTTCCTTGGGTTCAACAATGGTAACTTTAAAAATGGGGTAAGATATTTCTTTGAACTACAACGTGCTAGTTTTCATACATGGTCCTATGCCAACAACATCGTTATTCGAATATAAAATATTTATTATTTTCCAGCTTACAAAGACCCCCTCATGTGACAAGCTAAAACTAAAATGTATTGTCTAGCCAAGCTGGTAAAATAATTTCTTCCTTCTTTACACTTTGCCTAGACATAGTTATGAGTTTGTTTATAAAATAATGTTTTATATTGCTTGCAGGTTTAAGGAACTAATTATTGAACTAATTAGCTTCAATTCAATATTGTATTCTAAGTTTCTGATCGTATTTCGTAGTTCTAGTTAAAGGAAAATATATTCATAAAGCATCGTTTTTTAAATCCTACATGTTGTTTAATTTTTATTGGTTTCATTTTAATACTTATAAATAAGCTCTTTGTTGAGTATCGATGACTAAAATAGGTCAGTTGTCGGGTTTAAAATGTAAACATCGGAAATCAGTTTTGGTTCGTGTTTTCCGGGATATCGCTATTTCATATAACAATGCTTTTGCTAGACCCTCAAGTTATTCCGCCTTTTTTTATTTCGGCGGCTCTTTGAGGATTCTTCGAGCAATATCGATATTTATGGGTTCTGTTTGGAATAACTGATGTTGCTACGTGCTTGCATTTGGAACCGTTAAAACTACCCGCTAGTGACCGCTGATTGCTAGAACCAAGTGAATGCAGTTCACTGTTGCTTATATCTTCACTGTTAAAATAATTATTGTAATTTTTTAGGGCCTTTATATATACCAAAATTTAGAATTAATAGGGTAAACATTGAATTTTTGTTTTGGTTTTCTGCCAAATTCGTTGAATCAAATCGTATTTCCAAATTTTTGTCAAGGTTTTATCCGTTCTCAAAAGAACCTATTCTGAGATAAAATTTGGTGGTGCTTATTTTCCAAACGTGTCTACTGATAAATGCAACTAACTATTCGAGTTATCGAGCTAGTGAAGAACTGAGTACGCATTTTAACAAGATCTCGTATCGTATAAAAGAAAAACCCAGTTTTTTATAGATATTTTTACGCAAATTTTTAATAAATATTAAAATTGTTTATTAAAAACCTTTTTCATTTTTTTAATATCACAAGAATCTATTGAGATACTTCAAAATGTTGAAATGCTAAATGCTTGAAATAACTTCCAAATTTGTTGAAATATCCAAATATGAGTGGCTTCATTAAACTTTTCATAAAAAAGTAGCAATAACTAGAAAATTCGAAATGTGTATCTTTAATAGTTCTCAAAATTACTTATACGCGATTGCCAATTGCTTACATAGGATGCGTTCGAGATTTGATGTTCTAGGTATATAAAAGTTCTTTTTGATACGTAAAAGTCTTCGTAATCATGCAGCTATTGTTAAATCAATCAAAGAGCCCAGTATTTTCCTACTTATATCGAAAACATTTCTTCGAAATTATAAGCACTGAATTTTATTTAAGAGCAATGACGTTTTATTGTAATACACAATAGAAAATGTGCGTCGGTGGATAAACGATAGCAAATAGGAAATAGTTTGAAACAGTGCATAATTTATATGCAATCGAAATGAACTATTGTTCAGATTGTGTTTAATTATTTATGAATATACGCCAGTTTGATAAAATGACGATTCCGCGAGTGGCCTTTTTTTTTGTGCTTTTTGTGTTTGGAGGTTGCCAAAATGAGCGTAAGTGTCTGTTCGCCCTGTCAGTCGCTCATGTATAAAAGTTCAAAAATGGTCTTTCGATATACAGGGTTATTCGTAGTGAGTATCCTATTATGGATAATCTGGTGGTCATCATCTTTCATATTTTTTGGAACCTCACTTTCTAGGAAAACTGGTAACATCCATAAAAGAAATATATGGTGCTTGGAATTTGGCTACTACAGTTCCCGATTGCTTTGCTTCACTATAAGAATTTCAGAAGCATGTTAGAGGAACTATGGCTGTTTTTGTATGTCAAACTTTCTCTAATACAAATGCTTTTGATTAACTCCCTTGTCAATACTTTCACACACGATATCATCAATGTTTTCATAAGTGCAACACATTTATATTTTTTTCATAATTCATTTAATAAATTACTTGAGCATATGACTGGAAATCTGTAAATATAAAATTAAGTAACACATCTTTCAGTATTTCATTCCAGTACTACATTTTTCTTTGAAGTAGGCGGAAAACAAATAACTAGCAAAACTTGCGTTTTTATTTCTAACCAGCAGTATAATCGTGAATCATAACCAAAAATTCAGATATAAGTGTTCCTAAGTAATATATAACGTAACTAGTGCTAATTGTCGTCGAAATGACAAAAGCAAAACATATTTAGCTTAAAGTGCCAACATTAATTGAGACTGTTGAATACTTGAACATAGGTATTCAAACATTTTTAGTTATATTCTATTTGACGCCACAGCATCAGAGTAATGGCCAAAAAGTTGAAATTTCGACGATTTTTGGATCGTTGAAACAGGCGAATATTCTGATGTTAGTTTAAATAGATAATAAAAACTTAAGATTTTTATTTATGTTCTCCATTAGGACACAATCTAGCAATTAGCAATTATTTTAATTATGTGAATTGTTTTGCCACTATAGTCGAAGAATTTCCAATACCAATCAAATGTAATGAAAATATGGATACAGATGAAGCGTTTGTGTTTTATTTTATTGCTGAAAATAAATTAAATCTTAGAGAAGCTCTAATCAGTTAAAATTAAAAAGATTAATTTTCTTACAATATCTAAGAAGATGTTGCTAGAACAGAATATAAATGGTTTATTCACAGCGAGTGTGACTCTGATCTTGATCCTGCCATAATTTATGGAACGTTGGTTCTGGGAACCACATAAATAAATATTGCAAATATTTCATTCCTTCTTCCATGCATACGTAGATTAGATTAGAACTTTTACTATTAATTTGAGGGTGGCACCGCTAGCATAATATTTGATTAAGAAAATCTATAAATTTTAAATTTCTTGTCATTTTCCTTTATGTCATAGTCATATAATTTAGTGTTTCTTCTCCTGACTCTAAAATGTCCAATTATGCACGGACCAAGCATGTGGAAAGTATTACTTTAAAATGTCATTACCCAAGGTTGTGACCTGGGACGATTCCGGTATTTTAGTCACAAGTTTGGGGTCAATCGAATGTTTTCAGTAAATTGTAGTGATTGTATTTTGTTGTGTTGTGTTAATTCTGATGGTCACGTCACACGTCAGTCAGTGAATGTATTCATGCTGTTTTGTAAAAGCGCAAGTATAGTATGTGGCATGTTGATAAAGTTCTTGTCAGTGATTTCTATGGTTTGAAGTTTTGGTTAGTAAGATAAACAAAATATTTAGCACATTCTACCAAACAAACTGGCTAAAATAATAGTCATGTTTTGATTTAAAAGTATTGATTCAACAAATAAGTGCCGCTCGATGTCCTAGTCACAAAACATTTAGTTTTGGTCCCGTTCTTGTACAGTCGGCAGTTATTTTCTGCTACATACTATACGTTAAGCGAAGATGTTCTCTTCTCTATTTTTGAACATTCACGGAATAGCGACTGTCAGTTAAGTAGAATGAATTTTTCCGTTTTGATCGCTTAGATTAGATTAGAAATCTGATATTTTCGTATGTACAATGGTGTGTATTTGTCCTATCTGGTACCAGGTTCTGTTAGTTTAGTTAGAGAATTGATTAGGTCAAATGCAAATAATTACGTAACAAATATTACGCTTCCCCAGTAATGTGCACGACTTTTCTCGGAATGTCGTTGCTTGATATTATTATGAATGAATAGTAATGCTTTTCTATCGGTCGGAATCAAAACAAAATAAAACACAGATTTGGTTATGTTTGACGTGTATAATATCGTTATTTTTGTTGCTTTTTTTGGGTATGTTTTTTTCTGGTATGTATGAAGGGTTGCTCCTAACAATGTAATATTTGTGGCCTCCTGAATGTTAGAATATCCAGTGCACAAGAATTGTTGCTTAGCTCACAACTTGATGTTTTTCTTGCTCGTAAATACCGAAAACGTTTTAAATAAAATGCACCACACGTTTTCATTAGTTCATATTAACAATAACCTTTATAAAGAATTTGCCTATTGCTCAATTTTGTTCATTTCTGATTCAAGGCGAAGCAATCGAAAGCAGTTCCTCAAGTTCAAGAATGAGAAGCGCGGGAGTCAAAAATCGTAATTAGACTTAAAAAAATTTTTGTTAGTCTGCTTGTTTAGGACATATATTCGTTACTTTTTGTTAGATAGGTAGACCCTTCCTTATAGTATGAATGAAATGAAGGAAATTCCTCAAAAATGACGACATTTAAAAAGTTTACGAACATACGAAGGTATCGAAATTAGTTTTTGATCTTTATAATTGAACGTAGTTGATATAAAGTTGCTTTATAATGACGTAATGGTATCCCGTGTCTACCAAGCACCTTCACCATTTCATAAAATATATTTTATTTAAGTCATTTGGATTTATTGTACAAATATTTTTCAACGCACAACTTAATACAGGACTATAGCGATTGATTGAGAGCCTAAGACTTTTAAAAAATGGTAGGAAAGCATTGATCAAATGACAATTTTACCGAATTTTCAAAATGTCTTGAGACATAATGCTTATTAAAACTGTCGAAACTAAAACAGCAGAATAATCTCGGTAGGAATCAAAAAATGAAAGGAAAAATTTATTACCGAAGAAAAATTAAATTCATTGAAATACCGTGTACATCTGAAATAATATTCATTTATTTATTTGCTTCGTGTCCTGGTATTTTATAAAATACACTCTATGACTTTTAAACGGCTGGAGATAGCAATTTGAAATTTGCAAGCGTTAATATAGGCTGAATGTCCAATTTTTTGACAATATGTAGTCAATGGTTGCACTTCCAGTTTGAGCGGAGTAACTTTCAAATTTTAAATGCTGTGAGGCTGTGACCATCATAAATACTATTGTGAAATACTATGATGTGAAAAATTGTAAATGAAACTTTTCTTTACTTGTCTAATGCCAAATAACATTTAATGTAATGAAATATTAATTTTTAGGATAACCTAGTTGTTTTCAAATAGCACCCTAGTGGGAACAAAATGTTTTTAAAACCGATACTTTTTTGCAACATTTTGATAAAAAAAAATTCAAAATCCGTTAAAAAATAACCTGACAGGAAGGAAAAAACCAGATAAGTAAATACATTTTTATAAAAACAAAATATTACTTGAGTGACTTTCGTTCTATTCATCATCAATTCGGCATGATTGAAATTTCTGACAGTGTGTACATTTTTATCTGATTATGGATTTTATCGTGTTATCGATTTGGATTATCATGGAAAACAATAATCAATTTACAAATGGAGAAAAAGTTGGCAAGTTTCTGGTATACGGAGAATGCAGAAAAAACTCTCGACGTGGCCTTCCTGCATATTCTTTCTTTAGAAAGCTGGAATTGAAAATGAGAAATCCACAAAATAATCGACATGATAATTTTATTATAAGTGAAGAAATGGAGATCAATGTTGTGGGATACGTCAACGTAAATCCAGCTGCGTCGCTAAGAGAAGTGGCATTAGAATTAGACATCTCAAGAGAATCTATGAGTAGAATTTAAAAAGAAACACGGCTATCATTCATTTAAGTATAACCTTCATCAACATCTTCATGAAACTGACTTTGTAAGAAGACTTCGATATTGTAATTGACTGTTAGATAAATATGACGAAAATAATAATTCCGATAAATTAATTTTGTTCATCGATGAGTCACGATTCGCAAATAATGCTATGTTTAACCGACAGAACAACAGATACTGGTATTTAAATAATCATAGAATTATTCGTCCCAGGCAGTTTCAAGAACGGTTCGGAATCAATGTTTCGGCAGGAGTGATAGGAAGGCGAATTATTACACCTGTTTCTTTTTCATGGTGCTTTAACTGGTGCACGATATTTTTAATTACTAAGAAATGAAATTGAAGACTCGTTAGATGATGTACCTCTTGCCGAGACATTAAATATGTATTTTCAGTAGGATGACGCGCCTCCCCATAATTTTAAAGATGTCATTGAACACCTACTTGATGTTTATGGGGATAGACTGATTTCAACACACGATTCAGTCAATTGGACTTCACGGTCACCGGACTTGACACTGTTAGATTTTTTTGTTCGGGGGTACGTGAAAGACCGTGTACAGCGAATGTAATTTCTAGAGCCAGGGAGTGTCGTATACAAGACGGAGAACATTTTGTTCCAAAATAAATGCATGTGATGTTTTGTGTCACTGTAAATCTTGTCTTATATAACACACGTTGATATACCACTTTCAAATCGATTCTACGGAAATTGTTGAGGTTTTATTTCCTAACAGATTTTCAAAATATTGTGTTCAATTATTCCAAAAAGTGACATATTTGAAAAGAAAAAAAAATCTATTTTGTTATTCTGAGTTTCCGATAAAAAGTGCTTTTAGCTTATGACGTACGTATACATATAATTCTTACGTTAGTTTTTGACTGTATTTTATTTTTTTAAAACACTAATCTGTTTTTTTCTTTCCACTGCATGAGTTTGTCGAGAGTTTCTTCTGCATTTTTAATCTTACCGACTTGACAATCAATAATGAATAGAAGCAAAGCCACCTAAGTATTATCTGGTTTTTTCCTTCCTGTGGGTTTATTTTTTAACGGATTGTGGTGTCGAAATGTTGCAAAAAAAGTACCGGTTCTAAAAAGGTTTTGTTCCCACTGGGGTGCTATTTTAAAAAACTAGGTTAGCCTAAAAAAATAGTTCATTACATTAAATGCTATTTGTCATTAGACAAGTAAAGAAAAGTTTCATTTACAATTTTTCCCATGATCGGGTGACCCTAGAAATAGTATTTATGTTGGTCACAGCCTCCGAGACACAATTTTCAAAAACTAAATAAAAAAAACAAAGAAATGGGAAAACCGCCCTATCCTATCCTATCTTGTAAATCCAAAAATAGAAGAAAATATAAGTTGTGCCATTTAAAATTTTAATTTGCTCTCGTTTCCGCTCAAATCGGCAGTGCAACTATTGTCAAAAAATTGGACATTTAACCTATATTAACCCTTCCAAACTTCAAATCGCTATCTCAAGCCGTTTAAGAGTTCTAGAGTGTTCCCACTTTCTTGTGTCACTATTTTATCCAATGTATTCCGACGTTTGTCAGTTCTGTCGGTCACTACTAACGTCACTCAGTGGATGTATTAGTGCCATTCTGTAAAATTGTATCCGAAGCTAATAGTCGTATGCAACACGTTGATAAACTTCTTCAGTCGCACTCGATCCGCTACGCTCCACTCGTGCCAAATCAAACTCGTAGCTGAGATGGCGTTTATCAACCTTGTTATGCAATATACTATATTCTAGAAGATGAGCTTTCAAGAAACCTATTGGACGTCAGAAGTTATACCTTTTAATATTATAAAATGATTACATCCAGAAACTTTGTTGTCGGTTTTCGTTCTCCTAAAAAATAAGTCTGATCAAGTTTATGTGTTTTTCTTCTCCCCTCTGTAAAATACCTAATTATACACCGATCTAGCGTGCGGGAAGCGTCACTTTATCACGTGAATTTCTTGCCCCACGGATCCGAGGCCCTTCGGACATTTGCGGGATATTACCGCACGGGTTTGGGAGCAATCGGATGTTTTTGGAGGTTTTACCGCATGCAAGGCTTTAATTTTGACGTTTGTCTATTCGGACGGTCATATCAGTGAATGTTGTTGCATAATATACTATTATGTGCTTCATTCACAATTATTTAACTATAATATTTACTTAAATTGAGAAAGGGTTTGGAATTGTATTAGTTATAATAAAATGCAAACGAACTTATAACTAGGTCATACTTTGCGGAACAAGCACCTCGTCGGCAGAAATTCTAGTTCTAGTTAAATGCATTCAAATGAGCAGCAGCCGTTATTGGCTCTGGACTTTCCTCTGACAGGTACCCCTTCGCTCTGGTATAGCTGACGGCTTGTCCGGGAATTCCAACCACTTGGTTGCAGCCGGGTCTCAAGCAAACTCTGGATAGTGGGCTTATGCGTGTGTATCCCACTCCACCTTTGACCTCTCTAAGTGGTTGGGTTGACACCTACAAGTGCCGTAAGAAGTCAAAAAATTAGAGTGCTTTGAAAAGCGGACAAAAGGCAGTTGAAAGGCTGCGTTTCCAGTCATTGGTAGTAGGCTGTAATATTATAGTGCTCGTGAATTGGGTATTATTAATGTACAATCAATCATAGACGAGTTTTTTAATTACCTTTCTGTTATTAAAATTAAAACAAATTGTGATGTTTTTTTTTTAATTTTAACAAACACCTTTTATCGACTTTAAAAAGATATCAGACTAGGGAAATAACTACTTGAAAGGCCAATTTTGAAGAATTCAAGAAACTGATAGTGAATTAATTCGTAGAAAAAATTATCATTCAAAAATACGTGCCACAGCAAATAAAGGACAGAGGATTGCATTTTTTCTTGTGAGTATGCAAATCTATTTTATTTCCAGTTCTGTGTTACTCTCGCAGAACATCAATTCTTCCATGAATTACAAAAAAATTGAAAATTGCTTTAAAAATCTTTCAAACATATATTTAACTTTAAAATTAAAGAGCAACAGTGATTTCACAAATTGAAGAAAGTAAGTACTTCTCCTACTTTACATGGGTCCTTCTGGAAAAGTTTTTAGTTATATAAGTGGAAAGATTGTATTATATATCAAGATTTCGAATTTCGTACAAAATAATGCCATATTTAAAAATAAAAAGATCCTATCGCCACTGGTAGGACTGTACTAAACAACCTCAAATTTTTAACGCTAGGAGTTGACGCATGTAAATGTCAACCAGAAGCCTTTTTTGTATATATTGGTAATTATTTGGCTTGATCATGATATTTATCTTTATTATTTCAGTGAACGTCATACTTAATAATTAGCACAGACAAAATAGACGCAAGCAATGTGGCATCTCTTTTACAGAATTGTCTATAGAAGAATGTTTTGATAAATACGAAAGAGGTATTTATCCTCACCCTTCCGATTGTACGCGGTTTCTATCTTGCGCGACCACTGATCCTATAGAATGCCCGGCCGGATTGCATTTTAATCCGGACTTATTCGTTTGTGATTGGCCTGCTAACGCAGGATGCATGAAACTAACAACATCGTCGCCAGATGAATCGACTGAAGATCCATCGCCCAAATCGGATCAAACATCCAACACTGAAGTAAGTTTTATAACTTAACAAATTTTATTTAGATAAAGATATTTTTGTTTAAGTCTCCCAATGAAGCAACGTCATCTGACCCTAGAAATTCATCAGGTTCGCAACCAACAGATGGGTCAACAAGTAGTTCGAACGAAACTAGCCCACCTTTGACTACCGAAAAGACGGAATCTACTCCTCCAAAGAAAAATACAGCTGTCACAACTTCATCGCAATCGACAAGCCACACTAAAGAAATAAAATCGACAACGGTAAATATGGATGAATCAAGTAAACCGCAAGAATCTACACCGGCAGTCTCAAACCCGCCACTAAATTCAAGTGAACTAGAAGATATAAAACCTACAACTCCAATTTTCGAATACTCCAGTAAACCACAAGAATCTACGCCAGAGGTAACAACTGCCTCACAAAAATCAACTGAACCTGAGGATACCAAATCGACAACATCAAGTTCTGAAAACTCCAGTAAACCACAAGAATCTACGGCGGAAGAAACAACTTTCTCACAAAAATCGACCGAACCTGAGGAAACAAAATCGACAACACCAAGTTCTGAAAACTCCAGTAAACCACAAGAAACAACGCCAGAGGTAACAACTGCTCCACAAAAATCAACTGAACCTGAAGATTCCAAACCGACAACACCAAGTTCTGAAAACTCCAGTAAACCACAAGAAACAACGCCAGAGGTAACAACTGGCTCACAAAAATCAACTGAACCTGAAGATACAAAATCGACAACACCAAGTTCTGAAAACTCCAGTAAACCACAAGAAACAACGCCAGAGGTAACAACTGCCTCACAAAAATCAACTGAACCTAAAGATATAAAATCGACAACACCAATTTCTGAAAACTTCAGTAAACCACAAGAAACAACGCCAGAGGTAACAACTGCCTCACAAAAATCAACTGAACCTGAAGATACAAAATCGACAACACCAAGTTCTGAAAACTCCAGTAAACCACAAGAAACTACGCCGAAAGTAACAACTTCCTCAGAGAAATCGACCGAACCTGAAGATACAAAATTGGCAACACCAAGTTCTGAAATCTCCAGTAAACCACAGCAAACTACACCGGAGGCAACTACTTCCTCACAAAAATCAAGTGAACCTGAAGATACAAAAACGACAACTCCACGTTCCGAGAACTCTAGTAAACCACAAGAAAACGAGTCTCACTCTACATTTCCGGAAAATGTAACTGAAGCTACCGAGCCTACATTATTATCATCTAAGAAGTCAAGTGACTCCACGGTAGGAGCTACATCACCAAAGATAATATCTACTTCAGAAAGCTCTACGCCGAGCGACTCGAAGGGAATAACTTCTAAATTAGAAAAATCTACGAGTACTCAAGAAATCATACCCAAAACAACACCTTTTCCGGAGGCAAGCAATGCACCATCGAGTGATTCTAGTACATCAAAAACTACAGATTTGTCACAGAAATCAACCGAGCCTGAACAATTTCCAACTGAAACTGCTGCTCAAGATACAACACCAAAATCATCTCCCACAGAGAACCCAAGCAAACCAAAAAAAACGACATCAGCACCCAAAAGCAGTCCCGAATTTCCAGAAGCTTTTTCAGACAAGTCTACTGAGTCGCCAGACAAAGTATCAGCTCCGACTTTTGACTCTAGATTTAAAGAGACGACTCTTGCTCCAGAGTCGGACAAAAGGGAGCCACTTACAGAGTCTCCCCAATCAGGTATTTTTTTGACATATTCCACCAGAAATATCGCAATACTTTGCAAAGTAAATTTGTAACTCTATGAAGTCTTTGACATTTTCCCACAATCCCAGATCACTGCCTGAAACAAGTGCCTTTTCAGCCTCACTTAGTATCAAAATTTGCAGAGCGTTCTGCTTTTTTTTATAATTAAACAGAATAAAATAAATTTTGAAGTATGTATTTGGTATTTCGCTGGAAGAGCGGATACATAGCGATCTTTACTAACGACTTTCAAATCATTTTGAATAAATGGCCTATTACAACTATCTGCATTTTTGGAAATTTTACATAAAATTAATAAATAATTAATTAACTTTAGTTCTTAGGATATTTTTAATTTAAATATATCGAAGGCATGATTGAAGAATAAATTATAATAATTTGCAATTTAATGTAAATTTTAAAATAGTCTAAAGTGTTTTATCTACTACTATTATAGCTTAGGAAAACTAAACCAAAGATATTTTCACAAAAAAAAAAAACATACAGGAATATTTATTAAACCTTTTTCAAATACTTACGCTCTTTTGAGATGACTCAGTAATCACTATTGCCTTTTCCTTTTTAGCCCTTGCACTTAAGGATTGCCTCGCCAAATATAAATATGGAATATTCGCTCATCCAACGGATGAAACTAAATTCTATATCTGCACTAAAAGTAACCCGTTGGAGATGACTTGTCCACAAGGATTGGTATTTCATCCTGAATCATATGGTTGTGACAGACCTGCGCCTACAACACCTCCGCCACCTCCAGGTAATATCGTGATTAGCATGATAAAGATTGTCACCCCATATTTAAATTACATAACATTGGAAATTTTACAATTTATTTTTTCGATGAGACAAAATGGGAACAGTTTAATTTTTACAAGTATATAGAAAAATATTTTTTTAAATTGCAAAAACTGCCTCTTTTTGTTCGTAAAGCGCTTCTTAGGTGTAATTGGAACCTTTTGAAACTCTCACACTGCAACATTTTATCCAAAACTTTACGCTATATGCATTTAAGTAGGTATGTATTACTGTCATTTCACAGTCAAAATCTAAATATAAAAGATATAATGAAGTACTTTAGGTGCATTTTACCTTTTAACACTCGACTGGTATACAAATTAGGTATGAGTTAGTGATGATTAGTTAGCGAGGCCAAGAATATGTAGCATATTTTGAGATAAATTTTTGCAGAAAAGCATTTTGAAAGGTCTTGATTAACCCTGAGTTGTCAGATTTTTGATATAATATAATTATTCCATTTTTTTTTAAATAAGAATTGCATTTTCTTCTTATGCATTTATGGAATTTTCAAAAAGTTTGAAACAATTGCTTGCAAAAAACATAAGATCTTGAAAGTTGTTTCAAAATATTTCGAATGTTTTCAAATACCAATAAATTACTACAACATATGTTTTAAAATGTGCGTAAATTTGGTTAGTTAAATAAATCACATTAAAATCACTATATTGATCATTGTTTTCGATAAATATTAAGTTGATTTCCGTATTCGCAGCATTAAATTTAAGAGAATGTCTAAAAACTTATGGAAGGGGACTATTTCCACATCCCAGCGATTGCACACGATTCTACAGTTGCTCAAAACACGGTCCAATTGAGATGCAATGTCCTGGTGGTCTACATTTCAACCCCACGAAGCTTGCTTGCGACTGGCCGTCGAGACAATGCATCAGTCCCGCAGCAAAGACAAGGGATAAAAGTAATTATTAATTTGATGATAATGAAGAAAATTATCCGAAACAAAAAAAAAGATTCATTTGAAACATATTTTCATTATTACATATAACATAACAAATAATGATAAGAAGAAACGAAAAATAACCAAAATTAAATCAGTGGGCGAAGAAACGTAATTAAAAAACAAATTTACATCAGGTGGGCAGCATTTTAGAAAAATATGCGTGTTTCACATCTTCTTGATTTTTTTGTAAACCTCACTTGATTGAGATCTGTTTCATTGATCTAAGCTCTTATTTTCCATTATTGAATTTAAGTTTTCTTAATCAAATAATCCCATAATCAAATCGGAAGCAAGCTAAAGGAACGTTTACAGGATTCAATAGAAGTGAATTATCCAGTTCGTTGAAAACTGGCACCGAATTTAATTGTACTTGTAGGAATTGAGGTAATCATCTTTTAAGTAAACTAGGGAAAATTAGACGCAGAAAAAAGGCGTTGGTGGATAAGGCAGTGGGCGAAACGACGAAATGTTATGGGACAATGTCAATCTTTCATTAGGTTTCCACTTAAAAACCATTTTAAAAAAGCGACGTAGAATAACTGTTACACTCTATTCAGGACAAAAACACCAACAAGCAAGAGAATTTCAAGGGAAGTGGACGAAAGCAGCACCCGGCTAAACTTCGTTCAATGTTCATCCTGGATGATAATCATCCAAACTGAACTGTGTGATCGCGTCTAACGACTCGTTAAATTTAGTCTATTTTCAGGAGTCGTACTGATCGATTTGGCTTTGGTTGTGTTTGTCTTAAATCGTAATTTATCTATTAAAAAATATTATAATTTCTTAAAAAAATAAATAAAAAAACAAGTTATCGTGATTATATTTTGAACATACTTGATTATTCCCCGTTTTTAGTTGGGCAATTTTACTCATTGTATTTATTATGTCAATTCCTAAGTAATTTGTAACAGTCGTGGCACTATGTACTTGTTGCCATGTAATATTTCGGAAAAAAAAAACCTCCACATTATTGCTTCGTTAAGTGTAAGATATATAAATGGCATTTTCTCCGGTACGATTTAAATGGAAAAACCTGTTTTTTTTTATTCATTTATAGTTAGATCCTTCGCGTAATTTATTAAGTTCTATTTGTTTCTAAGGATAGAAGATAGGCTTAAGTCGTTTTTAAACCACATGACTATAATTCACAGCCATAAATATCAACTTTTGATACCCGAAATCAGAATAGCTGCCATTTATTTACCTATGCGATTGCACAAAAGCCATTAAATGTTCATTTTATCTACATTTACATTGAGGGATCTTTTTTTTAAGACTTGGATTAATCAAGAAACCAATTGCAATTTTTGTGTTGATAAGTCGAATTCCTAGGTAGAATCGTATCATAAAAAACAAACATCAATCATTTCTATTTGTCCCTAAAATTATAATTTTATGCGTTTGGTACCGATATGTTAGATTTTTACTTCCAATAAAGTACATTATTTCTTTGTTAAGTGTAAAGCTAAGGAATGTACTTTTATATAGCTAAACTATTATATTTTCACAGTATAAAATCCAACGAGGAATCTAAAATATATTTGTTGGATGAAAACTAATTTCAAGCATTTATTGTAAAGTAACCAAAATTCAGCAAATATTTTACAAAAAAGTTATAAATTCATAAATTAAACAATATACAAAATAAACATCATTTCTAAAAACTGTACATGAAAACTATGCATTGCATGATTTGGGACATGCTTTAGGATATTAAAGTCCATCCATTGATTTTCCTACCGGATATAATTGGTAAATATATATGTTACTCATTTTTTATCATTAAAAGCAAATAACCCGTTAATCTCTTGATCTCTCATGATATTGTTTATACTTTTTTTTTGTTCATACATATCTATAAAGTCTAGTTATTAAGTCGGATGGATTTGTTATTGTTGGAATCCCCTGTACAGTTTCATTTAATTTTCACGTACTACTAATATAAATGTGAAAAAATTGCATTTACATGTTTCAATTTTCAAAAAAAAAATTGTTATCAACTAAAGCCGTTCATGTAGCTTTTATTTTTCGAATATTTTAAAAATTCTCAAATAAATTTTACACATGTGCTATCACTTTGTCTATATAGATAATAGTGACACTTTATTTGAATGCATCAACTTTGCACTTGGACATATTATATTATTTCGGCAAAAACACAGAAAAGTGAAAAATGTCGCAGAATAATAGAGTGAAACTTAACATTGGGTTTAAATAGTTAATTTTAATATTTAATTAAATAATAAAAATGCACTGTTGGGTTTTTACTTGTGAAGTGTTTTCTTCTCAACTGACTGAAAAGAAATAATGTTTGAAAGGCGAATATCAACTGAGTCGGCGATTGTTAGAAACCACTGGCGATAGAAAAAACAAATAGTTGCACAGGGTCATAAGACACTTAACCTAATATTATTATATGGAACCCCGTATGGTTTTTTTCCATTAATTATAAACACATTTTGCATAACATGACTCAAGTTAATAGTATCTTATTTGGAATTTGGCATAAAACATTTGAATTGCAAGGTCTTTTGGAAAATGTCTTGCGCTTTTTGCTGTGGAAGTATTGTTTTTGGCAGAAGGAGTCCTGAAACTACAATTTTGCTGCTTAAGTTAAACAGCTAGTTAGTCAGGAAGTCTCAAATATTGGAGACAGATGGGAAAAGTTAAAAAAAATGCATTTCATTTAATACAAAACTAATGACATCGGATTACTGCCGTTTAATATAAATTCTATATGAATATGTGATGGTTTCTCAGATGTTTGAGTTTTCGTTTTTATTAGTTATGTAAGCTGGTTTGATTAGAATACATACTTACATGGGAAACTACTCTTGTAATTGTTATCAACCGTCGACGCATTATTGGAACAGCGTATAAAGTTTTTGTAATCAGAATTTTTGCTATCTGCTGCTTCTGGTTGTCGTCCTCAAATACCGTCATATCCATTTTCATTTCAGCCGAATCACACAACATACATCACAACGAGCCGTTATAAAAAAAATACAAAACCTAGTTAATTTTCTGACCTAAACTAGTTACAATTATAAATTAAAACTTTTTTAACATTGCATGTTTTTCTTTTAGTTTTTAGGACAATGAAGGCCGACAAAATAGTACCAGATATAGTGGATCAATGTCCCGAAAAACTTGCGGAAGTAGCGTTTCCCAGCGGTGGTCAAGTTGATCTCGGCAAGAATTTAAATCCAATTCAAACCAGTAACCCTCCTAGCATATATTGGGAAGCTGACAAAAACTCATTTTATACATTATGTATGGTGGATCCGGACGCGGCCAAGCCAAAGGAATCTAAATACAAAGAATGGAACCATTGGTTGGTGGGAAACATTCCTGGAAACAAAATTAGACAAGGTCAAACCTTAGCGGAATACTTACCGGCTTGTCCTCAAAGAAATTCTGGTCCTCATAGATACACGTACCTCATTTACCGGCAACCGCAAAAGATCTCATTCAACGAACCTAAAATACCAGCAAACACATGGATGCAAAGGGATGGCTTTTCTATTAGAAATTTTGCCCAGAAGTACCAACTCGGCCAACCGATCGCTGGCAACTATTTTAAATGTAGTTGGGATCCCTGGGTGAATCGACTTTACAACAAAATCTCCTATTTGCCGCCTGTATCAAACAGATATAGTTTTGCTGCTCGCCCAAACACTCGAGGAAATTCGTTTGGTAATTCATACTCCTACTCGTACAGTTTCCGAATGTGAAGCATTCTTTTCACCTGTTATAAATATAAATTGGACTCACGTATTACTGTATTCCAGTAAATTTTATTATTGTGAATGGTGTTTCTTTTTAGTACATATTACCTATCCAATTAAAAGATACGATGTTAAGTTACATAGAGGGAGATAGAATCCCTTAAAAAAAATAGATGAAACATTTTAATTTTTTTAACACACTTTTAAGGGCAAACAGAAGTTTTCGTTTTGTAGGTACATATCTGGAAAACTGTTTTTATTTTTTACTTAATTATGCAACCTTTCTGATCAGATATTTTCAATGATATCTGCTGTGCCGCCTAAACATGAATCGACCATTTTTAAGTAACAATTAAGTTAGAAGTAGTACAGTTGATAAACCACTGAACAAGTCAATTTTTTGATTATAAAATGCAGATGCAAAATTTAATTGACAACTTAAGTACAAATTTATTAGGATTAGGTGAAGTTAGTACACACATTTCTTTTTTCGTTCTTATGAATGTTAGTTTCGTATCAATGAAAACGAATTAAATGAAAGCACGGCGAAATAGGTGCTAAGGATGACACCAATACGGGCTTGTGGAATTCAGATACTACGGTAATAGTGGTTTCTTGCTGATTCTGATTTTCTTTCAACGTTTCGCAATAAGCATATTGTTAGGTTATTTATAGTTTTTCGTCGTTTCCAAGTGATTTTGTATATACGTTATCTATTTATCTGTAGGACAGATTTTAACTATGGAATTACCGGTGGTCCCAGAAAACGACGTCTAGTAGAAATACAAATACACCAGAATTTTCACGTGAATCGTATTTGGCAATATTTTAATCAATAGGTGAGCGTCACTAATCGGTAAAATTTATGACAACTTTGGGAAATATAATACACCTAAGTAGAAAATCCGGGGATTAGTCTGCAACCGTTATCGGAATTTTTTCTAGAAACTTTATAAATTAATCTACAACAGTAATAAGATAGCCAGTAAAGTTTTTTAGTTGGGTAGATATACGACCCCATGCGTATATGACCTACAGCTAAATCAATCATGTTATTTGGTGCTGTTTTCGTGGTTGGATTTTCAATCCTTCTCACAGTTAGTGCTAAACGTAGGTGGTTTTCTCTGATTTGTATTAAACTTCTACATAGGAAAAAGAAAATAAAATTTTGACGAATATATACCAATCGCTCGAAGTTATAAATCTGTTAGTTATTTAATGTATTTAGTGTACTTAATGTATTTAATGTACTATAACAGTTAATATACAATATCAAACATTTGAATTACATGAATCTATTTCTTCTTTTAATTCTATATTTCAGAAATTAATTTTTTATTATAATTTAATGGATCCAAATTGTCTAAACCATTTAGAAAAGAAAGTCGAGCTCAAACTATATATTTTAGTAAGTTTTGTCAACTTTCTGACGACATTGTTTGTCGCTAAATTGTTTGTCGTTATATTATTTGTCGCTTGAATAAAACAAAAATATCTCTATCGATTGCGTAGCAAAGATTATTTCTTTGATGAAAAAGGTATTTTAAACAAATTTAAAGAATCAATTCAATAAAAAATTACTTCCGAAACGTTTGTAACCATTTGTACTTAGCTGCTTCAGAAGTTTTCCCGTGTCTGCTAGGCGTATTCCAATCACGAATTTTCTATAGGCACAGCATACCTATCTACAAAACGCACATCCCCAAAAATATTTTATTTATGTCTTACTTATAATCCATTTGGCCATAATAATAAGTTGTTTCGGTGGATGGATTACGATTGTTGTCAAATGTTATGTTTTTAATCCCGATATTTTTAGCTAGTTCCCTAACCAGCAATGGCTGCCTTCGAGAGGGACTGTATCCTCATCCTACGGACTGCACGAAATTCATTTCATGTGCCCCATATGGACCACAGGAGATGGATTGTCCTGCGGGGTTGCACTTTAATCCGATAATCCTAGAATGCGATTGGCCATATCAAGCTGGGTGTACTGCAGGTCAGGAACCCGAACCCGAGCCTGAACCAGAACCGGAGCCAGAACCTGAGCCGGAACCGCAACCAGAGCCGGAGCCGGAGCCAGAACCTGAGCCGGAACCGCAACCAGAGCCGGAGCCGGAGCCAGAACCAGAACCGGAACCTCAACCAGAACCGGAACCAGAACCTGAGCCGGAACCAGAACCAGAACCGCAACCGGAACCTCAACCAGAACCTGAACCCGATCCGGAACCTACAACACAATCCGCGGAACAGGAACCCACAACTGAACCAGAACAACAACCAACTACTGAAAAAGAAGAACCCACAACGGAGGGGAAACCGGTACCCACATCAGAACCCAGCGAACAGGAAACGACAACTGAACCTGAACAACAGCACACTACTGAAAAAGAAGAACCCACAACGGAAGTAGAATCGGAACCCACGTCAGAACCCGAGCAAGTACCCACACTTCAACCAGAACCGGAATCCACGACAGATGATTTATCAGAAACTACAACGGAATTAGAATCCCAGCCTACATCAGAACCAGCACCGGAGCCCGAAGCCGAAACTGAAGTTCCTACAGAAGCGCCAGAAGAGCCATCCACAACAGAGTCAAGTGAAGTAGACGAAACAACTACCAGTCCAGCGGAGGAGGAAGAAGACGATAGTGGTTCTGGTTCTGAAACTACAGGTTAATATATTACGCTATCTTTGGTAGTTTTGGTTAGCTGACAACGTCAAATATTATAGATGCACCACCCCCAGATCCAACGACGACGATACCTGAGTCACCAGAAACGGAAAAAAGTGAAAATCCAAATCCTTCACCGGAACCTGAACCTCCGACGGATCCAGACAGTATTTGCGCTGTCCATAGCAACAGGTACGCTCAGTCAACAATTTTTAATGAATTAATTATTAAATTTTAATCTCCGATCGTTATTTAATAATATTAAGACTGTTGTACAGCAAATATCAATGCAACTTGATTATTTCAAACAAAAGTGTTAATGGCACCACCGCCAAACTAACCATTTCAATAATAGATACAATATAAGATGGCGGAGCAACCTCACTGCTTGTTGCTTACAAAGAATTTCAAAAATAAGTCCGCTTTAACTTTGAACCGTGACATAACCAGGTATAACCAAAGCTTATTTCAAAGTATTATGTTGGCCTGCGCGTCCAGCTGCACGGATCTCAATCGCAGCAATTTTGCATCTAATATTGGTTTTCAGGGAGATGTAGGTAAACCTCAGAAAAAAAATTTCCCTAGTCGGGCGCGACTGCCACTTAACTTCGTAACTTAGGAACTGAACAAGGCGAGAGTATCAGAATAGCAAAACGTTAACGTTGCATTGGTTGCGTATCTGTATGGATGAAATTTGAATGCTGTTAATTCTAGTAGCTAGTAGCAAAGAATTTTACTCATTTTCATTTGAGCATTATTGTGAAACAACCTAATATGTATTTTGTTTTCAGATTTTTCGTGACTTCCTATCCGAACGACTGTACGAAATTTATCACCTGCTCCTTTGGGGTTCCTTATGTTATGGATTGCCCAAACGACCAATACTTTAATCCAGTGATTACAACATGCGGAAAGGATAAATCGGTGTGTTATACTTAACGTTGTCAGTTAAAAGCGCGTATATTACTGTACATAAACAACTAAATACTGAAGAAGTATTTTCTATCTTATATTTTAATCTACTCCACGTTTCAATAAATATTGAATGTTTAAATAACTCCTTATTAGTTTCCGGCTTTAAAAATTAATTTCTACGATTTATTGATTCTTAATATTTCATAATTAAAGTTAATTATACGGTAAAAATATCCTTCAAATAACAAAAAACTTAATTTTTTTTAACAATCTCCCAACGCGAATAACAAAAACTGTTGAAACTACACAATATCGATTTATTGAATCTTTGGTTATAAGTTACAGTCTTGATGAAATCAGCATAGAAAAACACAATGCGTTATTGGAATACTTTGGCACAGAATTAAAATAAATCAAAAATGTTAAGGGAATTAGGGACAAATCTATAGAGAATCGTCTACGCAATGTTTGGCAAGAAACAATATTTGAGTCAAATCAGAAATTTATTGTCGCAAGCTTTTCAGTTTTGATAAATATTTGAGGAAGCCATTGAAGTTTTTGTGCTGCACCCCATGCTGCCAATTTTGTGGGCTTGAACCTGTTTCTAGAAGACGATATGACCGCTTGCCATACCTATAAAAAATGTTATTAGTTTATTAGGGAGAGATTAGTCTATGGTGGTCTAAAATTACATTGGTATTATGTGCAAGTTAATATCAAGAAGTTTTTATTTGTTATTTTCAATATTTGGATTTCACCAGTTCATATCACTATTGCAACAATATTAATAGAATTCGAACGGAGAATAGTGGTTAAATAACCATTTATACATTTAATTTTCTAATAAAATGAATACAAGAAATGTTAGCACCAAATAAAAAGATTTGATGATTTATAATATAAAAGAAAATATTAGTAGCCACACCCACAAGTTGTTGAACAAGATGTTTTGTTAGTCTAAATTGTTGAACAAATTTTCTGTTGGAAACCGGAAATGGATTCATTTTAATAAGCATATCTCTTTCAATCTTAATCCCCTCTAGAGTCTTTTCAAAATCGGTACTGATATATCATGTCAGTACGTAAATCTCTTGTTTTTTGTCCATTTCTGCCATTCATGACCAAGAGAATAGATTTCTCCTCGGGGAGTAAAAATTTCCCTATTTTATATTAGAAAATTTTTAAGACTTAGATTTATTTCATTTTTCGCCTTTTTTATAAAAAAAGAAAACAAATATTACATTAAATTAGTTTTTTTACATTCTTCTGTAAAATATTAAATTATACACCGATTTAGGGAAAGTGTGATCTTACCACGTTAGTTTCGGTTCCCACGGTCCGAGTCGCTTCAGACATTTCCCAGACATTACCGCTTGGGTTCAGGAGCAATCGGATGTTTTTAGAGATATTACGCGTGACTTGAATTTTGATGCTTGTCTATTCTGACGGTCATGGTAGTGAATAAAATGGTCGTAGAAAAAGTATAGTTCGTAACACGTTTAATTAACTTTTTAAGTCACTCGTTTATTTAGCACTAGTGCTGTCATTTACCACAGTTGTACAATATAATATTCCCTTAAACTAGAATGGTTCCGGTAATTCAGCCAATGTCGATTTTGTGAGGACAATGGTTTTTTTTTTGGCAAATCGTTTCCAAGAGGATACTTTGTGAAATTATTTTTATCATTTATGGTTATAATTTTGCAAATTATCTAGAATACCCATCAATAATTTTATGCCTTAATTAAATTGCAAATTCTTCTGTCGTATAACGTTCTACTCATATGATCTGATTTTGTTTCATAAATAAATAGTGACTTAGAGGGTTATTACGAAAATAAAATATGTAAATAAATTTAAAAATATTAAAAATAAATAATTTGATTTTATCATTTATATAAAGGGAAAATGTATATTTGTGCGTGCTATTTAGAATTAACAAATAAATCAGTATTTTGGTATTCTTTAACAACTAATTTAATTGTAACCAAAATTTGAAAGGGCAATTTAAAATTTTTCACTCTTTCCAGAAATAGAAAATATTTGTTAAATAGGAAAGAAAATAGGATAAATAAAGAAGAAATGCATACTCACGTTTTCTGACCAATATATATTCTTTTTATTTTAAATTTCGAATTATATCAATTGGAGTTTTTTTTTTAAGGAGTTAGATTGTAATGAATTTATATTTATATAATATTTAAATGAAATATTTTTTATTAACAGAATAATAAAGTGCAATAAATTTAAATTAACACTCAAATACTCAAATTTATATAAATGAGCAAGGGAAAGTCAATCATTACAGTTTAGATCGAGTTCAGTGGTTAAATCTTATAAAAAGCGATCTCACTAGTTCAATATGCTGTCGCGATTTTTTTTTAAAAAGGAAATGTCGATATTAAATTGATTCTTACCTGGGGCTTTCCGATGCTGTCTTTATACAATTAATGTAATCAGTCAACTCTTGTTCCTGTTTAAATATGTCCGGTCGATTGCACAATAGTTTTCTATTCGGTGATGCAGAGCCAAGTCCAATTGAAACAATCCACAACATAATCGTGAATGTGATCTTCATTATATACGCGTACCTGAAAAAAACTATATAAGTTTGCAATCATAGGATAGATTGATTTAGTGGCTATCCAAAGGAAGTTCCATAAAATTTGGAAAAAAATCCAGAGCTCTTTGTTTCTGAATTGTTGTAAATTAGTACATTGTAGAAGGTAAATTATAAAATATTTATGAATTTATTTATGAATAGTTTTGGTTAGTACTACTTCGGATTTCAATGCCGTTTTTCATATATTATGTTTTAGTTCGTGTTTTATGGCGTGCATTCATTCAGGCATACTGTTCTACTCTTTGGCTTCGAATTTTTGAGTGTTTTATTAAGAATATAAACGGTATTGCTCGCCACTTGGTTCAATTTTCATTAATATTTGTTTTTTTGGTCAATTTGGAAAACCGTGAACAACATTCTAATATTTAAATACCAGCTGCCTGTAGCTACTTCCGAAATCACTTTTTTTCTAAATTGCTACGTAATAATATATTATGCAACAAGATTTATAAAGCACCCTTTAGGCGTAGCGACTGTTTAGGGAACGGGTGTCTAAATATTGGATCGTTCCCGACCCTTGACTAAAGTAACAAAAACGCACGAATTTAATCGCGGCGATTTTAACGAAGCTAACGATCTAAATATCTTGCGCACGCCTGATCAGTGGTTATTTGGTTATTGGGTTATTTTAGAGTATTGAGTAGAAAAATAAAGCTTGAAGAATAATTTGGCTTGCTATAGAATGCTTTGTTATAGCTTTAGTTATTTTCTAACTTAAGTTAGTCTCTAAGCATGTGATCTTAACAGGAGTTCTCCGTAGTTCAAAACTTGTCGTCTTTTTATCAAATTCACAATTTTAACGTTCCAAAAATCAGAAAATTATATTCTCTATAAACACTAAACTTTTGAATTGCCGATTCTATTATTTTCTCAAATAAAATTTGTCTTTTCATTTTGGGTACGTCTGTAATAAGGTTTTTCACGATTGTAAAGGAAGTAAACGAAGTGCAAATTGTCACTGTCCGAAGTACCTCCTCGGGACTAAATTCGCTCAGGTTTATACATACCTTTATGCATACAAAACGATGTGAGAAGTTTTCCGCGCATTTCGTTCAATTGAATTTATTTCTTAAAGAATGCATGTTCCATATGGACAGAATTAAGCGAAGTAAAAGGCTAGAAATGTTGAAACCGGCTTGAGGATTTTGATTTTTAGTGATGATTTTCTTTGTTCTTCAAATAAGATGGTGGGGGAAGGACAAATATTTATTAAAAAACTCATGGAATTATCTAAATTTCATAAAAATTGCGTATGATTTCAAATAATTTATATCCAGCTGTAAAAATTACAATTTTTCTAAGTTTGTCTAAAAATTCTGCGTAAACAACTAATGATTTTTCATTCTGCATGCAGAACAAAAAAAATTACCAACGAAAACCTTTTAATAAAAATGTCATTATTATGTTATGCAAAAGTATCTCAGCCAATTATTTTATTTAGTTAATTTTGAAATATGCCCATTATTATAAGGTATAATTGATTTCTTTGTATTTTAGCAACCCGCCCTATTTTCTGAGAAAACCCCCAGATTTCCTATATGCACATGGACAATATTTCAATCAGCTGATGCAATTTTTATTTATTCATTAGTTAAACTTACAGACCCAACCCACTAACAAATTTAATTTAATTTAAAATCTAAATACTACTGCTTACAATATACTTAAAAATTAACTCCATCAGAAGGAGATCGAGGAAATCGTTCAATTAAAAGAATTCAATTGCATTGCTAAGATTTTGTAATAAATTTTGTAATAATTTTTCAAAACGATGTTTTTCTTTTACTAAATATAATATTTTACTTTCGTATTGAATATAACATGTAACCATTGCGATGAGTTGGGATTTCAACTTTTAATTACTCCTAGGAGTGTTTCGACGGTAAAGGTTACATTAAATGTGTTTTATTTGGGACACAAAGGTTAAATTAATTGTGATTTTGAAGCGATAGAGTAAAGGAGCCATGACTCTTCTAGTGTGAAGTGTTAACATTTAATAACCTTCTAAGTTGTTGACATAAGTATCAGATACTTTTTTCAGTGTATGTTTAGTTCAATCAAATCTAAATTTTTATCCAAGTTCAGGATCATGTTTTTTTTTTGTGGTGACTATCCAACTCATATTTAAAAAAAGCGGTCTCTTAAGATATGGAAATGACATACAGTGACGCTTTTCAACATTAAAATGTAACAAATTAGTTTTTGACAACTTTTCTTTATAAATTCCATCATCCAGATGTGTGGATGCTTAATGCTTTGTTCTACATCATTTAGAAATAATAGAAATAACAAGAAGAAGAAAAATAATGCATATATGTTAAGTAAATTGCAATAAGAGGCGCCAGTTTTTCGAAATTTACTTAGTTTTGATATTATAGTCTTATGTTCAACCCAATCAAAAGCTTTTTCAGATTCCGCAAATACATAGTATCACACGCGTAATAATTTCTAGAAGATCTATAAGAATTCTAGTAGACCTGCGTTCTCGAAAACTATACTGAATATCAGATAACTTTTGCCTTGTGTGTGCGCTTTAAATAGTACTTAAAATGATTTGAAAATAGAACCTATTCGAGATATTTTAACTTGTTTGGGAACATTTTAGACACTGTAGATTAAAAATTATGACAAGGAGTTTTGACAGATACTCTTTGGAAACCTTTAAAATATAGCGGAGAAAGTAATCGTGGCCTAGAGTTCTCTTATTTTTTAACTTTGATATTGCAGTAATAACATCGCTTTCTAGGATTGGGAAGACTTGTTGAAGAAAGTTAGAATTTCGGGAAATCCGCTTTATAATTATTGTCACAATTTTGTAAACACACAGATTTAAAATGATCGGCGAAGTCTTAAGCTATATTTTTCTCACTACAAATTTCTTGATTATTCAGAAACATTTGATTAGGTTAGTTTAGTTTATTCCTTCTGGGATGGTACGTAATTCCAAAAGTGTTCTGGGTTTTGTTATGTGCAGACGTAATATCTTTTTTTAGTAT